TGTGGGGGACAGGGGCTGCCCTGGGAGGCCAGGCTGAGGGCCGGAAGAGCCTTGTGCAGGGGAAGGAGCCCCACCCGGCCTCCCCACCAAACCACAGCCCCGGCTTCCGGAACTGCAGCCACCCGGGGGCTTGGGAGGCCCCACCACAGACGTCCTGGCCCCAGCCCTGCTCCTCCTCCTTCCCTCCAGGCTCTCACCTCCAGGGGGGCCTCCAGGCCGGGCAGGCAGGGCACAGATGGAGCCTCAGGCCACAGCAGCCCGGGTACCCCAACCCAGGTCTCCCCGAGGCGGCCCCCAGGGCTCCCACAGCTGTCCAGAGCCCCAGGAACAACCACCCTGTGCCCGCTCACCCCTGGCCACAGGACTCCAGCGCTTCCCGGGCCTCCTGGGTGGGTGTGTGATCGACTGATTTCGCTTCCCCAAATACGCCCCACCCTTCGGCCTCCTCCTGCCGCCTCCCACCTCCACGGCTGGGAGGACTCCTGCTGCCTGTCACAGCCAGCCCCCGTGGCCACCTCCTCCAGGAAGGCGGCCGGCCCCTCCCCAGTCTGGCCTGGGCTGGCGCAGCACCCACGCCCAGCTCCGAGCCTCCCACGGCACCAGGTGGACCATCAGACCCACAGCCACACACGCTCAGGGCCAGGCTCCAACCCGGGCCCCCGTCCTGTCTGCCTGAGCTCTGGCAGGTCACTAGCCTCTGAGGACCCGAGCTCTCGCCTGAGTGATGGAGAGGAGCCCTGTCCTCCCGCCGCGCCCTGTTCTGGCAGTGAAATCGCCTCCTGGCTGTAAACCTCCTCATCAATCCAGAAACACCGCACCGGGGAAGGGGCCCACCTGCCACAGGGAGTCTGCCTAGGGCCTCCAGGCCCCGCCCACCAAGGGCTCAAGGGGCCCAGGGGAGCAGCTGAAGCCACAATAAGACAGATAGGGACCCTGTGCCGTTCACGCTGGGGGTGGGAGGCACACCACAGATGAGCTGAGTGAGGAAAGGCAAATGCCCAGGCGGGCAGGGGTGAAGCTGGGGTCTGCAGAGTCTAGTGGGTGGGAACACAGGATCCACCTGGGAGGAGCTGTGTGGCTCTAGACATGTTCATTAACCTCTCTGGTCCTGAGTTTTCTCACCAAAAGAATGCMCGGGTAATGGTTCCTAGCTCTCAAGGGCTTCACAGAGGAGGGTATGCAGCGAGKGCCAACTCACGGCATTATGTCAGCCGGCTCCAGACACAAGGGATTGGCGGCCTGGGAAACAGGCACCACGTCCACATTTCAAGTCCCAGGGGTCTCCCTTCCACTTCCAGGCAGCCCCCCAAGTACCTCTTCTCTTCCCTCAGGGACTGGGCCTGCTCAAGTGCTGGCCCTGGCCCAGGCCCTGCCTGSCACCACCGCACCCCCTCCTCAGGGACAGAGGGGTGGCTCCCGGGAGTCTGGGTGTTTCAAAGGAGGCCACTTCCCATGCCCAGGCCCCTAWGAGAGCAGCCTCCGTGACTTCAAAGGCTCCTCCCGCCGAGGGCCGTGGGAGACAGGTGTGGGAGGCGGCAGGGCTGGGCCAACAGCAGGCAGAGCTCCGACCCGGCCCCTGGCCAGCCCCGCCCACACTGTCAGGAGCTTCCCAGGATGCAGGACCAGCCTGCCCACTGCAGAGGTGGACACTGAGGCCCGAAGGAGGGGCAGTGGCTCCGGGGGACGGAGCAGGACAGGAGGAGCCCAGGTGACCAGCCCCAAGTTCACCTCCTCCTGAGMGAGACCCGGGGAACGGGCAGGGGCCCAGGGCCCAGCGCCCCCAGCTCGGCTCCAGCCAGAACTCACCCTGGACCCCCCTTTCCTGTCTGCTCTCCTCCGCAGCCAGTCAGCACCACTGAGGCCCAGGCTGAGCCCCAGAGCCCACCGCAGGGCGAACTGGCCAGACCTGGGGCAGGACAGAACCAGAGGGRGGGCCAGAGAGGCCTGGACCCCGAAAAACAAAAAGATCCCAAGCAGGTCACTGTGGGTCCCCGTGACCATGGGGGCTCTGGGCCCTCGGAGCCAAGCAGTGACACCACCCACAAGAGTCCTACCAGGGACCTCAGCGTCCCCAAACCCAGTCCAAAGACTGTGGCCACTCCTCCCCTGAAATCACCACCATCCCATCGCCCAGGGGCGCAGGTGGGCCTCAGGGGAAGCAGGGCTGAGAGCTGAGGACGTCCCTGGGCCCCTTTCCCTCAGGGGGGAGTCCCTTCCCACCATCAGCATGGCAGAGGGGACAGAGGGACAGAGGCACAGGGAAGGAGCAGAGAGGAGGGTCTGCCCAGCACCCGCACCAGTAWCGGCCAGGGGCGGCTGCGGGCGTGGGGTGTCACTTGAGCTTCTCCCCGGGCTCAAGCACCCCGAAAGGGGACACATTCCAGGGTACGAGGCCAGGGGACAGCCAGGTGRTCTGAGGAGCAAGTTGAGGAGGGACTGGCCCAGAGTGGATGACAAGGGACAGGGACAGAGCTGAGAGGGAGGTGGGCAGGTCAAGGAGGTGACAGCCGTAGGCAGTGGCAGGTCGGGCCAGATGCCTATGGCTAGCCAGGGTGCTGTGCCACCCTCCTCAGTGGAGCCAGGGCCACTGGACGGAGGAGGCTGGCGGAGCTCCCCACACCCAGGCTCGGGGTGCGGCCCCTCTCGGGACAGGAAGCGTCTTTCCTGCCTCTGACGCTCCCTGAACCCACCTGGACGCCCATCAGCCCCATTTTACAGATCAACTGAGGAACAGAGAGACACAGCGATCGACCCAAGAAACACAGGCTCCCGGGGAGGTCCTGCCCCCCATCCCCACCTCCCAGGTCCCCCAGAGCCTCCCAGGCTCCAGCCAAGGCAGAGGACAGCCCATGACAATGAAAGCTCTTCCACTAGGTGCCAGTTCTTTCTTGCCAGGGCAGTTCATAAACCCCATTTCATCCCTCGGCCCTCGGAGGCCTTGGGGACCACCAGCAGCCCCTTGTCACAGATGCGAGACAAGCTCCGTCACACGCTGCTGGCCGCGGGCAGAGTGGCACTGGAATCAGACCAGGGTGCCATCTGGCTGTCTCGGGAGGTGGGGGCTGGACTGGTGACCTCCACGAGACCCTGGCTCTCCGGCTGGTGGTCACGCACCGCCCCACTCACTGGTCCAGACTGACCCCAGCTCTGGGCCCCGCGGCTCTGTTTAAGCGTGGGGAGGGCTTCCCTCCCGAGCCACGGGAAGGAGGGCCTGGCAGCCCCTGCCCCTCTGCCTGCTCCCCTGGAGGCCCTGGAAYGTTCTCAAGCCGGGTTACGGACAGCCCTCTGCCTGGGCCAGAGGAGAGGGCAGGCGGCCACCACCTCAGTGTGAATGGCCCACCTCCTCTCCCTGCGGGAATGTGGGGGAGGAAGGCAGCACAGGGTCAGGCCGCCAGCCCCTCGGGACGAGCTGGGCCGTGGTGCGACAGCAGGGACAGACCACCCCAGTGTCCCTGACGTGTGGGACCTGACCTCAGGGCCAGGAAGGCAGTGCCCAGCGGGGGCAGGAGGGCCCTCTCCTGGCCCAGCCACCTGAGAGGCCCTGGAGKGACGCTGGGCCAGCCACAGGGGCCTGTCTTAGAGGAAGCTGATTTCTCACCTGGCCGGGAGACCACCCCGCACCCACCAGGSCCCTGTCCAGCTTCGCCAAAGATGAGGGGTGGTGTCCTGACCCCACTCCAGACCTCGAACAGGGGAGGCTTTCAGAGACCAGCTCACGGGGTGATCCGAGAGAGGACGGGACCCCGGGTCTCTGCGTCCACCTCCGTCATCTGGGGCGGGGGGACCGGTACCCAGCACACGGGCAAGAGGCGGGGAATGGGCCAGACTAATAGCTACAGGTGCCAGAGGGTGGCGCCCGCCCCCCACGCGACACCGCAGTGGACCTTGGTCTTCCTTTGGTCCATCACTCCTGCCCCGTCGCCCCTGTCCACACCACCCCTGTTCCCACACAAAACTCCAGAATGCCCAGGTTCTCRGAGACGGGAGGACACACCCCCCAGCAGAGCCAGAGGCTCAGGTGCCCGCGCCTCCTCTCCAGCCCGCGGGCTTGCCATTCAGTGCCCCTTTGGCTTGGTCCAGACAAGAGCGCTTTCACCGTGTCACAGACCCGTGTCCTCTTCACGGCCTTTTCCCCTAASGAGCACCAATGCAAGCCCTGAAGCTCTCAGTGTGCCGTCCACACACGGCAAGACCCCCGCCCCGGCACCGTCCGCCTGCCCACCTCTGTCTGAGAGCTGGGTGACAGCCCTTCCAAGCCCACTATGGCCTCCAGTCCAGGCCCTGGAGCAGGGACCCTCCCCACCTCAGGCTCTTCACTGCCCCCAGGGTTGGCCAGGGGTGAGACGACAGGAGACGTGGTACCTGCTCCCCCTGTGTCCATACACGTGTGCTTTGATGAGGGCATGGAAAGTTCTGGAAGACGGACCCCTCTTGGTCCTGATGGTCTACCTTAGTTCCCGGGCCCTGGGCTGGGAGGGACAGAGGAGGGCCGTTCCCTTTCCCGAGGCAGCTGCAGCGCCTCTGACTTGGGTGTGTGCCACGCTCRGGGTTTAAAAGCTGTTTCCTTCTCGTATTTGCAGAGTTGGCGATGGAACCCGGTCCCCCAGGGCTAGCGAGCTACACCCCCGCCTCCACTCTCCCAGGGTTTTTTTGTTTTGTTTTATTGAGTCGGATCCTTTGCCAGGTTTTACKTTCTTTGAAAAGAGTGAAATGTGCTCAAAAAACGTGGAATCTCCATCCTGAAAACAAACATCTGGGCACCGAGGTTCCCAGCACCGAGGAGGCYGGGGCCCGAGGCGCAGCACCGTGGTCAGAGCCTGATGGCTCYGGTCCTCTGTCGACCAGGAGCCACCGGCCAGCCCCGGGCAGCCCCCTCCCCCGCCAGCCATCCCAGCCAGGCCCACTGCGCTCAGCTCCTGGCACCCGCCAGGGCACAGGCCTGTCCCGCCCGTCCCCCTGGCCAGACGGCACGCGGTCCCCACACCCGCGCCCGGCTTTACCTGGTTCTCCGGGTGCCCCTCGGTGGTCAGGCCAGGCTCTGTGCCTGCAGGGACGTCCTCAGAGGGCTCCCGGGTCACCATGTGGAGGCCCTCCACCGGCTGCTACCTAACGGGAGTGAGTCACAGCGACCCGCCACTTCCTGCTCTGGCGGCGCCCCAGGAAGGCTGCTCTGCGCCCCCTGCGGGGTGTGTGGGCCCCTCTCCCCGCCTGGCCAGCCGGGCCCTCGACGGACGGACGGACGGGAGCGGGGCAGCTGCCAGCCCAGGCCAGGCTCCAGTGACTTCACGGAAATTTGAAGCTCGAAGCTGGAACAATTTTGAAAAAAAAAAAAATAATAAAACAAAAAACCAAGAGGCTGGAGCTGCAGCCCGGGTAGGCGCCCGCCTGGTGAGCGAGGCCGGTTGATCCCCGCACCACAGGGACCAAAAGGACCAAGATCTCCGTCAGGAGCCCCAGGACGCCTGCTCTAGGCAGGGCCGACCCTCCTCGGCCCCAGGCAGACAGCTGGGCTGGGGGCCTGCGCCTGGCCGTGCCTCTCACGCCCTCCGCTTCCTGGGCTCAGTTTCCCACCCACAGTGCAGTGGGGTGCTCAGGAGATGGCCTGAGAGGTCCCAGTCTTCCAGGACAGCCTGCTGACCCCCACTTCACATCGCCTGGTTGCGGCGTCCAGGGCGGGGAAGGCCAAGCACCGCCTTGGAGTTTCCATTCCCAACAGTGGAGCCCCGCAGAGCCCCGCAGATGGGCACCATGAGGCCAGGGATCAGCCCAGCTCCCCTTCCATCCTGCTGGGCTTCCGCTTCCCCGCTGGGTCATGGGGGAGCCCCGTGGTGAGACACCAGGAAGGACCAGAGAGCAGGGACCAGGGACCTCCGAGACAGAGGGGCTGGGGGGCTCCGGCTGGTCCTCAGGGACCCCCGCTGAGATGCGCCTGGGTCTGCCCACATCCCACCTCGGGTGTCAGACACTCCTGGGCCTCCCGCCCCCGCCTGCCCCACCACAGCGTCTCTGTTGCTCTGTCCCCCAGCAGGTGGCTATACCACCAGCACCTCTGTCCCCGGCGCCCAGCACTAGTCGGACACAGAGTGGGACTGCACACAGCAAGGCTCTTTCTGTGCCAGACCCTGTGCTGGGAACTAGCAGGTGACCTAAGTATCTGTCACCTTGGGGGGAGATAAGCATCGGATTCGCTCTGGGCTATTCCAGAAGCCAAAGGAGGGGCTGAAGGACCTCACAGGGAGCCTGGCCATTGCTCTCCCTCCTTTTAACACCCATCTCCCAGGCCTGGGCATTCCAAAACAGAAAAGGAATGGACATCACTAGAGGGGACAGATCAGCCCTGGACCCGGAGAAGGGATTCACAGTGGATATATCTGACCAAAGATTCCTCTCCAGAATATATAAAGATCACCCACAAATCAAGAAGAAGGTGGAGAGCTGGGGTCGTGGCTCAGTGGTAGAGCACTTGCCTAGCATGTGTGAGGCACTGGGTTCGATCCTCACACCACATGAAAGTAAATAAATAAAAGGTATTGTGTCCATCTACAACTAAAAAAAWATTTTAAAAAAGAAGAAGAAGGAAGAGGAGGAAGAGGAGGAGGAGGAGGAAGAGGAGGAGGTACCATGCGGGGCATGGTAGCACACACCTGGAATCCCAATGATTTGGGAGGCTGAAGCAGGAGGATTGCAAATTGAAGGCCAGCCTCAGCAACTTAGCAAGATCCTGTCTCAAAATCTTTAAAAATGAAATAAAAAGAGCTGGGAATGATGTAGCTCGGTGGTAGAGTGTCCCTGGGTTTGATTCCCAGGACCAGGRCAGGGGGACCCTGCCTAAGGATGCATTACACCACTAGAATAACTAAAATTAAAAGGGAAATACCAAGTGTTGACAAGAATGTGGAGCAACTCCAAATCCCACGCACCGCTGGTAAGAATGTAGAACGGTGCCTCCACACTGGAAAATCCTCCTGCAGTGTGGACTCGGCTAACCGTAGGCTTCCCTAGTGACTCAGCAATCCAGCTCAGACATTTACCCAAAAGAAGTGGGTACATGTGCCCACAAAAGGCCTGCCTCCCAAGGTTCAGCTCCGTCCTAACAGTAAACTGGAAACAATCCAAATGCCCTGCGACGGGGAACGGAGAAACACGTTTCACAGATGTACACCATACTCAGCCACAGACAGGAGCAGGTGGTCCCCCCACGCCATGGGCCAGCGGCACCGCAACGAGCAGAGCCAGAGGACCCGCTCATTCCTCCCTGTTTCCACTCACATGAGACTTCAGAAAAGTCCACCTCATCTATGTGACAGAGCGGGACAGGTTCACCCCAGGAGGATGCTGACTGGGAGGGGACACAGGGGACCTTCTGGGGGCTGACGATGTTCTCAGTCTCAAGCTGGTGCTGGGAACGTGGGTGTGTGAGAAGGAAAAGTCACAGCTCTGGCCGCGCAGTGTGCACTCCTGACTGTGTGTAAATCACACTTTAACAGCATTGACTAATCCCTGATCCCCTTGTTTACTTTGGAAGATGTGGCGCTCGCTGTAGGCTGCGGGAACACAGGCCTGACTGAGTCTGGCCAGAGCCAGGTGCAGAGCCAAAGCCGGGGTGAGCCGGGCCCAGAGGCTTGGGGGGGGGACAGGGTGTGTGGAACCTGTCCAGGGACAGCAGCGAGCAGGGAGGCTGGGGGTCAGCAGGGGTGAGCTGTCCCTCTCCAAGGCAGGCAAAGTCCTGGGGGCTGGGGATTCTCCAGGGAATGGCCAGGTGGGGAGCAAGTGACCCCGATTACACCTGACAGACCACTCCTTGTGTCCACCATGAGGTCCTCCTGTGTGCAGAGGCCAGGGCCCCTGTGGTCAGCAGCGGACGCCAAGACTTCACACACATGGGCCCACATAATCCCTCATCAACCCCACGAGGAGGGACCTGCTACCATCCCTCCTGCACAGAAGAGGAAACCGAGGCTCAGAGAGGCCACCTGCCAAAGTGTGCAGACAGAAGCCCAGTCGGGACTCAGTCTCACCCCATCCACTCCACAGCCTGAGCTCTCAGACTCTCATCGCTGACCCTCCCGGGAGAAAGGAAAGGCTTCCTTGGGGACTAAGTGCCCCCAACAAGATCACCAAGCCCTGACAGGTGGTGACCCCAAGTCTACAGAGCAGCACCCTCTCCTCCAGCTCCCCCAAGAAGGGGGGCCTCCGGCCCTTACAGCATCAGGAAGCGACAGGTTCTGCGTGCTCAAGGGGCCAGGGCCTGCGGCATAGCCCAGCCCTCTCCTCGCGCCCTGTTCCTGGTGCTAGGGACACAGAAGTGACTTGGGCACGAACCCTGTCATGCAAGTTCCCAGCCTGGGGGAGGGTCTCACCAAGGCACGGCACAGAGAAGGCAGAGAGGTACCCTAAAGGCAAGTGATGGGGTCCAGAGACACAGGAGAGAGGCCTCAGCTGCCAGGGGGAGGTCTGGGGGCGCCCAAGACTGGGCTGCGAAATAGTGGGCAGGAGGAATAAAACTGCAGCAAAACAAGGCGGACAGAGTTGTCAGTCGGCCAAGGGACAAACGAGGCTGAGCGCTGAGCAAACAGCTTGGCGCCTTCGACAAACCCAGATGTCCAGCCCCTCCCCCGCGGGAGGAAGCCCATCGCCCCCCAGCGCCTTGCAAACTCTGGGCACGCTTCTGCAGGGCAGGGGCATGGGAGGGAAACAAGGGTCCCCACCAGTCACCTCTCTCCCGCCACCAGGCGGGGAGCAGGCTCCCCACACCCCAGCAGAGCCCTGGCAGGGGTCTGAGCAATCAGGGTGGCCACTGACCACCACCCCAGCCCTGGCCCAGGGGCGATGAAGAGCACCCCGGAGTGGGAGCCACAGTGGATGGCCTCAGCGAAGGCACAGGACCCCGGGAGCCCATCTGTGAAGTCACGACCTCACAGTCCAGCTCCATGGGGACTCAGGGGCCAAGGGAGAAGCACGTGGGGGACAGAGAAGTGCTCAGTTAGCACCAGCAGGCCAGGGGGCCCGCCCAAACTGTGCTCTAGACTCGGGCTCCACTTCCTGCCTCCTGAGTCAGGTCCTGGCCCCTCAGGCCCCCAGACCCAGCCCGACTCGTCTGCCACCTTGTGTCCCACTGTGACCCACTGTCCAGCTGCCCGACTCTCCTTGGGCCTTTCTCAGGCCTTTCTGCCTCCTGAAAGGGTCAAGGCCATCCACCCTGCCAAGGCGGGCAGGAATGCCACCTCTTCCAGGAAGTGTCCCCCCAGGTCCTATCGTCACCATCACCGGGTCACAGTCCCACAGAGCCCCCTTGGCCCCCCTGGGGAGGACATTCATGGCCACCCTTTCTGTAGTGGCCGTTTTGACTCCTGTCAGCAGCTCCTATTCCCACAGGAAGTGGCTCTCAGCCCTCCCGGGTGGGCTCCTGACCAGGGAACCCGAGGGACGGGGTGGGACTCAGGGAGGGCCACCGAGGCCTCGTCTTGTCGGAACTCCATGCAGAAGCCACTCGCCTTTCACTGGGCTGCTAGGACGGGAGCCGGGAGCCCCGGGCCCCTCTTGGTGGTCAGCCTCCTGCCTTAGTCCCCACGTTACCTGTGACCCGTCACACGGGTGGCTTCTGAGGTGCTGAAAGGCGTCACGGTTGCACCTTAGTCTTAGATGGTCCCCTCTAGAGGAGGCCAGGGCCAGGGCAGGAGGCCGCTCAGCAGGCTTGTGGCAGAGCGCTGCTGCAGGAGCCCAGGCCTCTGCCCCCCAAGACCGAGCCCCCGGGAAGCCCCATGCCAGGCCTTCAATGCCAACAGCTGGACTGACATCCTGCCCACAGACCACCTCAGCAGGGACCCCGCCACGGCCACCCAGCCAAGCCTTGTGGCCGACCCACGGAGGCTGTGGATAACTGCGGAATGTCACGCAGCAGCGGAGAGCCGGGGAGCCCCGGGTCACTTACACCAGCTCCCAAGACCTTCATGACAGCAGCCACCAGGGCTCCTTTCACCCCTGCCTTGGGCTGGAGGAGGGTTTGGGCTCTTCCCCTCAAAGAAACCCGTCTCATCCCGCTCTCTCACGCAGCCCGTCCCCCACCTGAGCCGCTCACAGAGGG